GAAGACTTGATATAAAAGACATTCTGCTATAGCATGAATGTTTGGTTGCTGAACATAGTCCTGTAGTGCTTATTTACTCCTTCCTCTCACTGTGCTCTCTTTTGGGCTGTCATGATCGTCCTCCATCCAATCTGCCTGACTTCTGCTTGTAACCTTCAGTCCGTTCACCACTGGAGAGGGTTGCATTTTCCTGGCAGACTCCCTACCCATTGGCGAGTCTCCAAATGACAGCCTTCCCTGCTTTGACTGATATATGCAGTCAAGGTAGAGAATCAAGTTCTCTGCTCATGTGTTAGAAAACAAAACTCTCTGCTTTACCTGTATGTTTCAGAAGAGACGCAGCATGAGAAAGAGAAGGTTCGGTGAACTGAGTGAGCAGTACGGAGCGGTCATGCCTATACAGAGTTAGGGAGCAGCTCAAGTACAGAAGTTGCTAAATGTTGGAAGAAGTGAGTGTTAAGAGACAGACCATTTCTCCTAAGAGCTTGAATTTGCACTCAACAGTACTAATTCTATTAGATATCTCCATGCATAATCTTCTCACTTGTATGCCATGATATGCAAGATCAAATTTGGTTTAGTTTTGCAGTAATGAAACTTACTGTGTTTACTTTGAACACGTTATTGTTCAAAATAATCTGTTTAAATCTTGGAACTTTGCTACCATGCTCCACAAAGCACAGGTGTGGACAAAACTGCAACCATCTGTCTTGCTTGACCAGACATTTGGATAGTCACACACAAGAGTAGCTACAATTCCTCAGGAGCCCCTGAGAACATACCTTATTTTTCCCCTCATCTTAAGTGTCATTCCAGGAATCTTCCACCAGGATCAACCTTGCAGCGAAGCAGACTACACACAGTTTTCACAGAGCTCCTCTCCTTTCTTAGCAACGGCAACAAGCTGAGCTTCATGGCACAAACCCTCCATTCCCCCATTAATACATGTTTCAGATCAAAGTTGCCACGTTTACATAAACTTTTCTCTATGTCTTGGATAAATTCCTGTTCTCAACACCCTTTCAAGTTTCCTTTAATAAAAGCTGCCTCCTCCCTATGTAAGGAAACAGCTTATTTGTTGAATATTTACTGCTCCACCAGTACCCCACTATTGCTAACATGTCTAGGCTTGCTGAAATCTTCATGATGTTTCCACAGCACAATTTCTTGTAATTATTTTTATTAGCTTCATCACATTACACCACTATCAATCTCATCCCCATACTAGCTGCCTTTACTTATGTGGATATTTTCAGGAAACAATTAAATAAAATAAAGGCTTGAGTGCTTAATTATTATTAAATATTAAATAATTACTTTCAAAACCTGTCACACAATAGGACTGCTTATTATTAACACTAATTTCTGGAGCTCAGGAATAGATAGCATTTGGATAGAAATTAAATGGGCATTTGCTTTATATTGAGGAGTGTAATTTACTTCAAATGCCCATCATGTTGTTTTTATAAACAGATAATGGTTTATTGCCTGTTTCCAAGTCTAAACTTGACTCTTGTGGGTCCTTTTCTGTTCTATAACCACAGAAAAATATACTGGAGTCCCCAGCTATGAACATGCTATATAAGACAATACCTGGTGTTTCGGTAGTGCAATTTTATCCATAGATTCAAAAACACTTCAGTAAGCTGAACAGGACTCCTACAGAGAATCAGAGACCACTGACTAAAATGACTTGCCTAAGATCACACAGAAAACTAATGGCAGAGACATGAATGGAATGGATCCAGAGTGACTGAAACATGCTTTCAATTACTGCACATTTTCTGAACTGAAAAAAAAAAGATGAGAAATTCCAGTCTAAAAGGTAAATTCTCTAGAGGAAAGCTATTTGAGTAAACTAGGAAAGGAAAATTAAAGTTGTCAAATATAAATACAAAATACTATCATTAGCATGACAATATAATTAGATCACTGGGTGGAAAGAGGTTCTTAATTCACAGCTTGTTTAAATACAAGTCACAACAATAGGATCTTGTAAGCCACTAATGTGCAATTAAAGTTCCTGTTATTTACCAGGACAAACTAAGTGGTGAAAAGAGGAAATAATAATAATTTTTGCAGGTAAGCATTAGTTCAGTGGAAAGAAAAAGTCCTGTTGCCTCTTTATCCACTTTCTGATTTTTGTAACTCCAACTTTGCCCATACACAACTCTTAGAAAATATTTCATGACAGAGATCCACAGTCACAGATGCTTGTGTCAGTAGTATTACCACAAAGCTAAACAAAACACCATGGATTTTATTTATTTTCTTAAATGTTGTCTAAACATTTTTGTAGCAATACATAGTAACTGTAAGCATCAGTATGACTGATCATCTAGTTAAAGATGTTCCTGCTTACTGCATGGGGTTTGGACTAGATGATCTTTAAAGGTCCTTTGCAACACATTCTATGATTCTGTGACTGCTAATATTTTCCAAATACATAAAACTCATGCAAATTCCTAATTAAGAAAAACATACTTTAATAGTTACTCTTCTCTCTCTTAAAAACATAGAGAACTGAAATACAGATGGACAGATAGATAGATATGCATATATAAAACACTTGAAGAAAACACCCAAGCAAAATGAAAATTAAATCCCAGTGAAAAGAAGCAAAGTGACATTATAATGCCTGCGCTGGTGCTGTACGCTGAATCTTAGTCCACAATGCATTTTCAAGATGAGATTATGAACTAGCATTAAGAGAAGCTGTAACAGAAATGCTGACTGAAATAGTAGTGACGTGAACAGGTGCTGCTATAACAAAACTAATAAAGTGTGGAGATGAGTTTAAATCTTTCAGATAGATAGCAAGGAATGAAGATGCTAAGCAAAATGTATATGGTTATCTTTATTTTGGGCTGTCCACTCCTCTTTTCCTCATCTTTTATAGCATATTGCTTCCAGTGCTAATGGAGTATGATAGCTATACTAAGTCTAAGATAAATAAAATTTTGCACAGGATGAAATCACATATATTAAAACACAGGCCAACTCCTCCGTTTTAAGTTTCCTCAAAGTACACAGCAGCTCCTCCCTCCCCCCACCTCACAATATTACTAGGGTATTTATTTGACATCTGGACCATTAATGCTGCATTCACACATAAAAAGAATAATACCTGTAAGGATTTTTTGTTTTGTTTTCACAGGGCCATTAATCATGCTTATCTGCATTTCAGGGTAATTGGACTGACTTCTATGGGTCTTCATCCTGATTGACACTGGAGGAGGAACACTGGCATTACCAGTTTATATACAATCTCTTTGTTATGTTTTAAGACTGCTGTCATGGTCTGAAGGCTCATGCCACAAACACCCATTCATGTTGCTGTGGTTTTTTGAAGTTACAGGCTTCCAGCAGCTTGATTCAAATCCTCTGCCAAAGCCCCTCACTCACTACGTATCACGAGAACTGAATGACAAAGTGCTCATCTGTGGTTTTATGCCAGCTTGGCTCAAAGAAGGGGTGTAACAAGCTATTGAGTTGCAAAAACCTTTTAAACAGTCTTATTGCATGAACATGTGTCCAACTCCTCAATTAGAGCTGACTAAAACCTGTGACAGGCATACGTCAGGGTTGCATCCCATCCTCGTCCAAAGTAAGAGGAAATGTGGTACCCAGCTGGGTGAGACAACAGCACCTCACCTGACCAGGACTACAGAGAGGCGTAGCAGAAGGGAGGAAGCACTGAGATCATCCCCCAGATACCCCTTACAAACAAGATCATTGCTATTCCCAGCTTTTTACCCTTATTTCCCCTTCTTCTCCTTTGTTTGGCTATGATTCTCCTATTAGTGCTCACTGGTGTCTCATCTTCCTCCTTGCTCTTTGGATTTGGTATTCAGAGGCTCTTTTTCTGTTTGTATTTTCTCCCTTCCTCCTTTTCCTCCTCTTCTCCACTCCCATGCTTCTAGCCTGCTTGGTTTTCTTTCCAAGACTTTTGATTCTGCTCACTTGCACCAGTGTAAATTCTGGGTACTTCCACTAAAATCACTAAGCGTGGTGGGCATCAACATCACAGTCCCACTGTAACTAAGAAAACTGAGTTAAGCCTGTGATACAGAGTATATTTCATTTTTCGTGTCCTCACAGAGACCATTTCACATACAAACTTCACAAACCTGAGGAAAAGCTAGCAAGAGAAAAGCTGTTTATCCATTACCTCCAATAACGGCAAGGAAGATGAGAGGACTGCTCTTGAAGCCTGGTATAGAAAAGCCCTGTTTGCTCTTCATTGCTCCAGGGTATTCCTGTTTGGCTCCAAGGCTGTAGTTTATCAGTCCTGGTCAAAGGCCACTGTTTCTCTAGTAGCCTGCATAACTGAAAGCTATTTATCCTTTATCCAGTTTTGCACCCAGTATAACCCCCCACATCCTTTCCTTTCCCCTTTGCTACTTTCAAATTTCATAGTCACCTTCATAAAAGGTGCATGAAAATATTATGCTGCACTTCACTACATTTAGTTAACTGTAAAATAATAATAATAAAAAATCCTAAAAGATTGGGAAGTATTTTTAAGAGAAGTTAAATATAGGACTCTTTTCATCTAGCTATCACTGCAGTAATATAAATGAAGCAAATTAATTTTAATGCTCCAAGGTACTGATTCTGTGTCACTGTCACTGACAGGATCCAACCAGACTTTATGAGATGGCATTTGACTTTATGGAAGTGAGCACTATGCACGCATTTACAATTTTA